TGCTTTCAGCCAAGATCCATCTGATGTTCCCACGTCCCCAGAATCCAACTTGAATTTCTGGCAGTTCCCTGCTCGTGTACTGCTGCAACAAGGTTTGAGTTATCTTAGGCAAAAACTTTACTTGCATATGATATTGATATTCTCAATAATTTCTGCATTTTTCTGGATCACCTTTGAAATGGACTCAAACACGGATCTCTTCCCGTCAGCTGGTCAGGTATCTGTCCTCAATGTTTTTGGGTTTGTTTTTTTTTTCAGAGACAAGGGACCACATCGGGCATTGCATACATTCATGGAAACATTTCAATTGGTATTCCATCCATTCCCAGAGCTGTGCTCATTTGCTGTTGCCTTCAGACGGCTTGGACTTCTTTCTTTAATACCATCAGTTCTTAATTATATACTACCTCTTGTAATTGCTGAAAATTATCCAGTTCATTTTGGTACCATTTATTCCGGGCATTTCAACCATTCATTTGGATACTTCCTGCATCATTCAGTATTTGCACACAGGATCCTTCAATATTGTGACTAGAGCCCCCCCGCTCCCCACCAAGTCCTTTCATATTGAGAAATGCAGAATATGATCTCCCCTTTTGGCTGTCTAACTTCTCTTTGCATCGCTTCTTTGTCTTCTTGGGCTGCCCTTTGAACACTGCTGTCCAGTTTTTTCTTCCAGAGTGGCTTCAGCTTTTCTTCATTGAAAGCAAGTTCTGGAGCATCTTTAACATTGATTTCAGTCTTTTCTTTCTTGCTTTTAAAATGTGATTTGCTCTCTGTATTTGATGTTCTTGATGTTATTCCATAGCTCTTCTTGTCTTTGTTCAGTCTGAGTCTACCTTCACGTGGGGGTATGATCTAGGTCTTATTGCAACTCATGTGCACTTGGCAGCTTCAACCTGAACTTGCATATGAGCAACAGAGGATAGTCGACTTGTCACACAACTGGCCCCTGACCTTGTTTTGACTGATGATACTGTTTCTCCATTGTCCTTTTACACATACATATCCTATTAATCCCGGTGTATTCTACTGAGTGAGATGCATGTGCATAATAGCTGTTTATGTTGCTGAAAAAGGGTATTAGCCATTGGTCTAATAAAACTTCATCATGAAATTCCCAGCTTCATTTTTATCACCGAGGCCATATTGTCTACTTACTTATTCTACTTCTTTCTTGTTAATTCTCACCTTCCAACTACCAGTAATCATCAATTCATTTTAATTGCATGTTTGATCAATTTCAGATTGCAAAACTTCATAGAATTCTTCAATTTCCTGATCATTGGCATTAGTGGTTGAATAATCCTTTGATTCACTGAGTGAGTTCATTATCCTATCACAGACCATATCGGACTTCATGATAGGTCTGGAAATACTCCTTTTTACAGTGAGCATGACGCCATTCCTCTTCAAGTTTTCATCCCTGCATATCAGACCTGATGGGTTATCTGAGTTTAAAGAGCCAGTAGCAGTCTATTTCCGTTTATGAACAATTAGAATATCAAACGTTACAAGTTCCATTTCATTTTTGATGACTCCCTGTGTTCCTAGAGTTATACTTTCCACATACCAATTGTTAATGGGTGTTTGCATTTGCTTTTTCTCATTTGTGCTGTGCCCCATCCGTGTCATTAAGGTCAACTGCTTTGAGGAGTCAGCTCTTCCTTCATCATATTTTGAGTGACTTCCAACTTGAGGAGTTCGTCTTTTGACATTTTAAAGACAATGTTAAGATTCTTTTGTCAGGTTTTCAATAGTCAATTTTTCAGAAGTGGTTCCCCTGTTCCTCCTTCCTATTCTTAGCTGGAAGCTCTGTTGAAACGTGTGCACCACGGGTGATCTTAGTGGTTTTTGAAATACCAGTGACTTAGTTTCCCACTTCGCAGCAACACACAAGCCGCCACAATAGGACACACTAACAAACAGATGCTCTCAAGCCTTCTTCACAGATGTATTGCTCACCGCTCATTACACATTTTGTGAGAGAATAAATTGAAAAATAATGGGATTCTTCCAGGAACTCTTTGAAGCTCCCTTGTTTAGAGAGAAATTTACATAAAATAATTGCTTCAACTAAACCTTAGGGGTTGGCAAGTCCCAAAAGCAAGGGTCAGGAGTCAGGTTGAAGACTTCTCATGGATTACATGGTATAAGTGGCTATTATCAAAACTGCACATCAGTAGAAGATTTCTGCAGGGTTATGTTCTAAGAACCAAAGTTTATAAGATAAAAAAGTACAGGGTGGTTGGAGAGTGAGCATTGCTAGAACATCTTTTATATATGAAAGGTAGGCTACATGCCCAAGGAAATTCTCCTTTCAATTGACTGGCTGATCACATCAGATTGCAACAAAGAAGAAATAATATTGCATTACATTATAGAAAAACTATCAGTCCTATGCCCGACAGACCACTGAGAATCATAGCTCTTTTTACATGGAAATAGAACATTAATCTTCACAGTCTATCACATGGTAATCAGGGATCGAGAAGTCACTATTGCTAGCGCAGTCTAAGTCAGAGGTTTATATAATGCTGTCTTTAGAGTTGGGAGGCCTTACCCAAATACTTGTCATCTTGAGACCATGATAGGACCCAGGTCAGCCAGCTCATTCACAAGCCCCATTGCTGGAGTGGTCTCTTTGTGTAACTGATAGGGATATCTGACAGTTGAATGATGGTGGTCCACTTAATTCAGCCCTGCTCAACGTGCTTAAAATGCAACTTTCAGTTCTGTTCCGTTACAGTTGGGTTTTGCTTACTCTGTTAAAAGGACACTTGGTCTGCTCTCCCTCTGTGGATCTACCCTTGAATTCATTCCAGCCTGAGCGACAAGTTTTTAATTAAAAGATGTTTCCACTCCTTTACAATGTGTCACAACTCTCACATATCACAGGGGCAAGAACCACGTTGGAGATTATACCAAACCCAGAGTCAGCATAGGATCATTTCTTCTAAGAGTAGCAAGGGCAGCACCAGCACGTAGTTCGTTATTCTAGAACAAGGTTTCCCAAACTCAACCCTATTAGCATTGAGAGGCATGTATTTTGTTGTGGAGGACTGTCCTTTACCTATGGAGTTGTTGTACTCTGTTCTATCGAATGGCTACTGTGATTCAAGAGTGGCAGTGGGTTTAGGGTTTAGATTTGGTTGTATACTTTGTAGGTTGTTAAGCAGAAGTCCTGGCCTCTCCTCAGTAGATCATAGTAAAACTGCATTCAAGTTGTGACGACTGTTGTAGAGCGATCACAAAGATTCCACAAAGAAGACACAGGATTAGGCTTGTCCTTAGGTATTCATAGGTCTAGTAGTAGAAGGTGGCTACTAGACATTTGAAATGCCCACTTTGCAATTCTACAGTAGCATTAGGAACATCGAGAATATTAGTTCTATTGGGGCAATAGTCTGAGTTAAATTTTAAAAATAAAATGATTACAGGCTTTGTATGATTTTAGTTTGAGAGCATCCACTTTTGTTGAAAAAGGACAAAGACTATTAATGACTTCTCCACACAGCCGAAAGGATCCACATTCATATGGATGTGTGTTCTTCCCACGGACTGGGTCAGCTGCCGGAAAGCAATGCCACTAGTGTTCTCAAGCCTCCTGTGCCGACAGATCACTCATTGCTCATAACTGATCACACCTTCATTTCTGGCCTTTGAGTCTACTTCACTTTCTTTGGGTTGTTATTAACTCATAGGAAACTCTTTTCTTGATTTCTGTCACAGCAGGATTGATTGACACTTTGAGGAATAGTCGCTCTGGAATCATGTTATCTTGTGTCTGGGAGGAAGACAGTCACAAGAAGAGATGCCAGGATGCAATGTCCATTTCATTGACAACATCCATTGAAACGAAGAAGGAAGGAACTTCAGTAATGACTTGTAATGCAAAAGGGCAACTCTGAATGGATTAATGGCAGAAAGTCTGTGACTCCATAGTTCTAAGCTTTAGAAACAAAGAACAGAGGATGTCAAGTTTGCTGCATGGTTGTACCATAAGTTATTGTACCACCATGAGCCAAGGGGAAGGCCTTTTGCATTCTAATACCAATCACTGGGCAAGTTCACTACTTAGGGGACATACATGCTGTCCAGAAAGGTGTTCTCATGTCGTATAATCCAACTTTAAAATGCTTTTGCAAATCCGAGGCAGCCGATGGTATTAGAAGGAATTACAGAAAGTATAGTGGGTTAAATCATGATCCTCTTAAAATGTATGTCCCCTCCAAAACTCAGAATGTGATCTTACTTGATAATCGGGGTTTTGCAGATGTAATAAGTTAAGAATCTCAAGAAATACTCTTGGATTTAGGAAAACTATTGCCATCGAGTTGTTTGCAAGTCAAAGCAAGCCTACAGGACCACGTAGGAACACCTCATTGGGTTTCCAAAACTGTAATCTTTGCAGCAACAGACTGCTACTTCGGGTTCCTCAGACTGTCTGGGAGGGTCCAAGTGAAGGCCTCCCGTGCACAGCAAAGCACTTGGTGGACCTTGGCTGGGGCTATCACATGGCTGGGTTCATAAAATGAGGGAGAAAAAGATTTGTAGCCAATGGGGGCATGTGAAGACGGATGCAGAGATGGGAGTTAATGCCAGGCTGCCACAACACAAGGAAATACTGAGCCATCAGAAGGTGGAAGAAGTAAACAGAGACTATCCTCCAGAGATTTCAAGAGAGTATAGCCCAGCCCCAAATTGATTTTGGACTTCTAGTCTGTGAGTGGATAAGTATTTATTATCTTTATCTTTATTATTTGCTATAGGGCATTTTTGATGGAGCTTCCAAGGGAAGGCAGCCTCCTAGTTGTTCCACTCTATATGTAGATGTTGAAATGGCAGATCTGATGAGTAATATTAGTAGTTCCACCTTATACCTCTGTAAAATAACTCTATGTAACTCATTTCTCTGGCTAACTCAGGGAAGTAAGCTTTACCCTTTTTCAGATGTCCGTGGGCCTCAGAGTGTTACAATACCTCCAGCTAGGACATACCTGTAGATGCCTTCTACCAGGATGAGAATCTTTTTCCAAGCTCTGTGCGTCCGTGGCTGGCCATAGATGATTGCATCTCTCAGTTGTTTCTCTAGGTTCTGTGTATCTTGAAATAATAGCAAAAACAACAAAAAAGGACTTATTAGAGGTGTTTCTCTGTCCTTGTTCTCTCCTATTTTTTTCTCTCTCCAGATGGCTTCTGTTTTTTTAGGCTAAGCTTAGACCTAAATATTCAGGAAACCAAATTACAATCCGAGAACATGTGGGGAAAGAGAACAGTGAAGAATTAGTAGAACTTAACACGGAGAAGGCGACTGGTCAGATTTGGACCGGTACACACATAGAGGCACCACACTAGTGGAACAACGTTTTGTATGTCTTCTCCAGGGCTTTCCTCTCATAGGGTACAAATCAAAGCCATGCTGAGATACTACCTCCTTTCCACAATGGTGGGAGGAAACAACCAATGTTGACAGGATATTGAAGGAATTTTCTGGTAGGAATATAAGACAATGTGGCCACTGTGGAAAACAGTTTGGCAGAAACTTGAACAAATTAAACATAGAGTTACCATCTGATCTAGGAATTCCAGTCCGACTTATATACTCAGGAAAAGTTAATGCCAAAAAATGTGAACATAAACCTATACACCAGCTTTCATACAGTGCCGATCACAGTAGAATGAAACCATGTAAATGTCTATCAACTGATGAGCGCATGGGCACAATGTAGCACATGCTTAACAGGGAATTTTAGCCATAGAGAGAAATGAAGTCTCGATACGGAGCTGAACCTTGAAGACATGCCCAGGGAAGTAAGTCTGTGACCGAAGGACAGATGCTCTATTAGTCTAGGTACTTCAGAGAAGCAAATCCACAGCAAAGTCACATCCGGACTTTGACCAGACAGGAGAGGAGAGCATGCACGTGTGTGTGTGTTGTGAAGTCAGGTGCTATCAGTTACAGTAATTACATTGTACAGGCCATCCATAAAGTCAGCAACAATATGCACCAGTTCACAGGCTCAAAAATCTCTAGCTGGTCGGGTTCTGGTCATCTCAATGTGGGCTGCCTCACTCAGCCTCCACAGGGTGCCCACTGGTCGCCTTGCCTTAGACCATGGGCTCTCACCAACTCAACAAGCCTAGCCCCCTCAGACTAGGTCATGAACCTTAGACCAGTCAACCCGCTCTCATCTCCTTTTTCCCCTGTAAACCAAGTCCACAGGTGTCAGTGGCCAAACTCAACCTGTCTCTTTACTGCTGCATTTCTCCCACTTCCACTCAACAAGTAGATCCAGGTGGTCACCTAGCAAGCATTTCAGCCTGCTCACAGGCTCCCTTTAACAGATGCTATATGATTCCATTCATGTGAAATGACAAGAATAAGAAAATGTATAGAAAGAAAAATTAATTTGTGGTTACAGAGGTGGGAGACAAAAAAAAGGACTCATTTTTGTGAAGCAGGGAATTTCTGTATATGATGATGGAAAATTTGGGAATGATCATGGATATTTACTGTACAATGTAATTACTGTAACTAATAGCACCTGACTTCACAACACACACACACCTGCATGCTCTCCTCTCCTGTATTAAAAGAGACTGAAATTTTACATTTGGTATAGCTCAGGCTTAGACTTTGTGCTACGCAAAATTTAACTCTGGGAAATATAATTAACTCTTACCATTTATTTAGACAAGTTGCTGTTAGTGGTCCCACTTTATAAGCTTAGAGATCTAATAGTAAAGGCAGGAACAGGTATACCTATGCTCACTGCAACACTATTTATAATAGAAAAACAAATGAAATAAAACTGAATCCTTATTAACAGATGAAGTATAGACAAAATGTGATACAATGGAATACAACATAACTGCAAAGTATACTGATGAGTACTTGAAACACATTATAATGCGGATACAGTTAGAGAACGTTGTGCTGAATGAAGAAAGTAGATCACAAAGGCTAACTATCGGATAGTCTGTTTTCTAAAAAGACAAGAACGCATATACAAAGAGATGAATGCTCTGTAGCAGTTAGCATGGCATGGAAAGAGAGGGAAGAACTCTCTAGATAATAGGCACCTGCTATGCTGTTTATTTATTGGTAACAGAAGTGTATTATCTAATATGAGTGAGGTGTATGCACAGTTTAGCCAAGGTAAACGATGTCCGTAGGAAGTACACAGGAGAAAAGGATATCACATATTTAATGTAATATCAACAACCCACCCAAAGTATGCATGTTGTTACATAGGTGTGTATATTCTCTTACATATAATGTCAATGACTTATGTGTGGCCATTGGACAACAACACTTCATGTATATGTTGTTGTTACTAGGGCTGTCGAGTGGGTTTGGACTCACAGAGACCCTGTGAACAACCCACTGGCCTGGCCTGCAGCATCCTCACCACAGTTCTGATGTTTGAGCCCCTTGTGAGAGCCATTGGGTCAAACCATCTTATTAAGGGTCTCCCTCTTTTTCACTACCCCTCTATTTTACCAAACACGATGTCCATCTGATTAAATCCATCTTCCAAATGATGTCCATCTTATTAAGTTCATATTCCTCTTTTTCACTACCCCTCTATTTTACCAAACACGATGTCCATCTGATGAAATCCATCTTCCAAATGATGTCCATCTTATTAAGTTCATATTCCTCTTTTTTGCTACCCCTCTATTTTAGCAAACATGATGTCCAGCGTTTGCATACTTTATAGTAAATGTTTATTTAATGATTGGATCCGGTTTATTTTTGTGGATCCAGTTTATTAATATGTACACTAGGAAACCAGAAACAGAATGTTGCTTTGGATTTAGGAATTATTAGAATATAAAAATATTCATTTATAATTAACTCTGTAAGTTTAAAGACAGGTGGACAGGTGACTATCTTCTGAAGGGTCACAAGAGTGTGTTTTAGTGTTTTTGTCTTCCTAGTGGCCCAGTGGTTAAAAGGCTTAGTTACTAACCAAAAGTTCAGCAGTTTGAACTCACAAGCCGCTCCAAGACAGAAAGATGTGGCAATCTGCTTTCTGTAGATATTGTAGCCTTGGGAACTACATGGGGCACTTCTACTTGTCCTGTGGAGTCTTTACAAAGTCAGAATCTGCTGGATGTCAACAGGTTATATCATTCACCACTAGATGGCAGCCGAGGATACAGAAAACAGATACTTTCTGATTTAAAAAATATTAGGAATAAGAAGTTACCTATTTTATGATTTTCACTTTTGTTTTCGTCTGGAATATATACATATATATTCCACAAACGTAAACTCACTGGCATAGAGGCAATTCCAAGTCACAGTGACTCTACAGACCAGAGTAGAACTGCCACTGTTGTTTCTGAAACTTTAAATCTTTACAGGAGTAGAAATCTCTTCTTTCTCCTTCAGAGTGGCTGGTAGATTCAAACTACTAACGCTGCAGTTAGAAGTTCAACATGCCACCTTCTACACCACCAGGCCTCCTTCTGTGAGAAGAATATAAGTATTCCTGTTTGAAGAAACTTTTCTTTCTGGGACTTGGAACCTATAAGTTTTTGTACATAAATAATGAAATGAGAGTAGCTCCAATCCCATGACAATAAAAATAAACCCAAGGGATCTAAAATTTTAAAGGAATATTTTGAGAACTTGAAAAAATCTGTTAAACCAGAGGCAATTTCACAGCTAGTATATCAAAATGGGGTTAAGTTTCAAACGAACATCATTGGTTCTAAAGATACATTTCTCTCGATAACAAGCAGGACATAAAAATAAGTGTCTTACACAGTCGTGGTTTTCTTCAAGATAAACGTGAAGGGTTCCCAGCCCCTATCGTGTCAAAGAAAGAACTCATTTAGTTTGCACCGAAAGGCCCATGGGAGCAGCTTTTAGGTGGAACTCCCGACACCCCTAGGACCCATACGTTGTGATCCAGAGCTCAGGAAAATATCTGTCAACTGGGTTTCCTATGGCTGGGGCTGGTTGGGAACACCGACTGTCTTCTTGAAATCACAGAAGCTGGACTAGGAAAGGTCATGATGGCATCAGTCTATGTGGATCCTGGGTCAGAGTTATAATCTTGTCATTTCCTCTCTGGTTCTTAAAGAGGGTTCTCTACAACACCATAGTATGCGGATTACGTACAGCTCTGTGGGATTTATGGGATTGCGGTTTGTTTTGTGTTGGCTGTGAGGGATTCTACTGTTCATCAAGCTATATACGAACCTCAGTAAGGATTTAAAAAATAATAATAATGCTTAATAAGGCACTTAGACTAGTATTATGCTAATCCTCATAACACCCCTGAGAAGAATTAGGTTTATGTACCCCCCATCGTCAGATGAGTGAACTAATGCCAGGCAGTTAGCAAAACAAGAAAAGACTAAACCAAACCAGAAGTACCAGTTTGTAGTTAGTTTATAAGACATTTTGTGATATGGAAATTAAAGTGAAAGAATTAATTTGATGCTATCAAGGCGGGCAGAGTGGTACTGCTGAATGTTGTCATAAAGTTATAATGATATACCATGGATTTATAATTACGACGGAGTTGAACGTCAACAATGCCTTAGACATTACTCACCATGCAAGACCTGACTCACAAAGGAGGTTTCTTTGGGTTTGTGAAACAGCTCAGAGAAGAGTGTTGGCGATGTGGGCGATGAATGTCAACATTTTAAATGTGGAGGCGGCAGTCCGGTTTCTGGTACAAAGTAGTCCTGGTCTTTGGGAGGCATAGCTGACTGGATTATCAAATCACTTAATACACTGAGTAATTATCTGCCAACAACTACAACCAGACTTTCATGTCTAATATTCTTTAAGTGCCTCATCTTGTCCTGTCTTTTAATTCAAAGCACTCGTACTAATCAATGGGCCTTTGGAATCTGTGGTAGTTCCAAATTTGGTCATCTGAGAGGAGGAATCAAGGAAACCGACATCTTCCGAGGAGGGTAGAGTGGGTGGAGATCAAAGTTTGTCTTCCTGAAGATAAGGACCAGGCACCTGGCGTCATTCTTCTCCTACTCTGCATCACTGCATGTTGCAAAGCCTCCTCCTGCCTCTTTTCTGAAGCAGCCCGATTCCTCCGCGCCCGCTTCTTGTTCAAGCT